AAACTGTGAGGATTCCCTTGACCTCTCTGAGCCTAAGGTTCTTATCTGTACAACAATGGGTTAAGAACAGTACGTCTCTCACAGGGTTGTTGTGAGGATGATATGCTTTCAAATACAACAGGCTCAGAACACTGCCAGCACGTTCCATAAGCATCGACTGTTTTTTTGTGGTTGGTAAAAAAATATACACAAGGGGCCTTCAAAAAGTTTGTGGAAAAATCCCACTATCTTTTTATCCCATTTTGTCATGAAGCCCCCTTGAACATATACATGTATTCCCCTGCTCTTTGGGGGTTTTAGCCCTTTCCTGAAGGGGAATGAGTTCAGAGCAAGGAATAGGAAGAATGACCTAAGATCATGCATCTGTATGGGGTATACTCATTTAATTAAAACCGTCACACACTGGAAGAATTCTCTGTAAATAATCGGTCATCCAGACAGTGACAAGGGGCTTGCTTTCTGAGAAACAGAATACTCCTTCACTAGATAGCACAAGTTTTCAATGGATATACTGATAGCAGATAGAAATATTTTCCTTCCTTAAAATGCCTATCCCCTCACTAGCTGACCAGAACTCGACCAGATGAAGATAAAGATGCTTGATACTGTGAGTAAGCATAAATTGCTAAAATGTGATGACCTGGACCTTTGCTTATGGATGCAGTTCATCACATTTTAACAATTTATGCTTACTCACCAAAAGGGAAGGAGTCTTCAAATTAAGGATCAAGCTTGTTTTCTCAGTACACTACGTTGACAGGGATGGGCAACTTAGACAATGGCTATCAAAAGTGGGGGGCTATAAAAGCTTACAAGCTTTCATGAGTATGCTTTATTCAGAACGAGGGGTAATGTAGAATCCCCACTGAATAGTTTTCCTTTTTTCCAGATGGATCTGATAAAAGGGGATGGGGGACAATGGTGGTAGGGTTTCATGATTCAATTGTGAGTAACTGTTAGCAGGATTAATTGTGATTGTCACAACCGTAATTGTAGAAGATGTGAAACTAAAAGTTAGGAGTAGTTAACCTTTCATTTCAGGAACAGAAGACCCAAGGACCATCAAGAAGCAAGAGCATGAGAGGAATGTGAACTCCTACCTAGAAAAGTGGCGACAGCAGAGACAGTAACAGAGGCAGTGGCATAGAGAGACAGAGCAGCTGCGGGCTCCAGACCCAAGAACTGAGTAAGGCTGTGTGCCTGAGGGCAGGAGGCTGGCTTGTAGAATGTGCCCTTTGGACATTTAAGTGAATATATATATTATATAATTTTGTATATGTACATCTAACATTTTTGTTTGATAGATTTGTGAAAAATAAGATGTACGAAGGGGCTATAATCATTTAGATGAAACAAAATGTATGACTGGTTGAAAGTAAAGCTGATGCACTTGTCTATTAACCTTCACTCAATTCACAATAAAACGTTTATCCCCCCCAAAAAAAACACCAAAAAAACCACCTATCCCTGGAGCCCTGCCATATAAATATGACCCTTCTAGAAGATGACCTACTAGCTGAGCACAATCTTTCACCGCTTCTGTTGTTGTTAAGTGCCGTCAAGTTCGTTCCAACGCGTAGCAATCCTGTATAGGGTTTCCAAGGAGTGGCTGGTGTGTTTGAACCACTGACCTTGTGGTTCAAACTGCCTTTACAGTCCAGTGGTTTACCCTACAGCACCACATAGAAGCCACCATTTCTAGCTCTGTCCACGTTCTCTCCTTGTGTCCTCCATTGCATCCCATCCTTAGGGTCTTTCCCTCAGTCTCAACAGGAGCCATCCCTCTCAACAGTGAGCCGTGTGCTTCAAACAAGCTTGGCCAAGAACTTCACAAAGAAATAAATACCTCCCAGTTCTGTACTCAAGCGATGGGACCCTCCTGATGGGCTGATCAATGGTTGGTGAAGTGGAAGGTCAACAAAAACAAGAAAGTCCTCAGTGAGGTGGATGGACACAGTGAGTCTGTAACCATGGCCTCAGCAATGAACTTGAGCAATGGACAATGGTAAAGATGGTGTGGGACTGGGCAAGGTGTCATTTTGTTGTCCAGAAGGTCATCATGAGTTAGAACCGCCTCAACAGACACTACCATCAATAATTCAGTACTCCAAACATGAATTATGGCCAAATAAGACTGAGTTTACTTTACTAGCAACAAATCACACTGATAGATCACACAAAGCTACTAATTCAACAGAACCCTCAGATCTTCCATACAGTGGTATGCCAGATTCTCCCAGCCCAATATGCTATGATAAATAGGCAGAATTACAAGTTAAATGAAGTAAAGATGCAAACAGAGCCCTGATCAGCAGCCTCGCATACCTTGTGGGGTTCAGACATAATGCATGCCAGAATTCAGCCATTACATAGAGATTTCTGTCCTCTCAGAATGTCATATGGACTCTGGGTCTTCCACCACATGGCTAAGGACAATGACACAGAAGGGATCTAGCACAAAGACCTGTGGTGTGCCTCCTTACTCACGCCCTGGGCACACAGTGGCTCAGCTCTACATAAAGGCAGTGTATGCAGAGCTACAGTTTCGTCTGCTTGCTTTGCCGAAGCTCTCTGATCAGTTCAGCTAGTCTGATGACATGAATTAAGACCATCCAGGCTCCACAAATGCAATCATTCAATTAAGGCAGTAAGTATGATTGTGGTGCCTGGGTGGCTAGGGAGAAGAAAACCATTGTGTCTTCAGAGTCCTGAGATACTGCTGTGGGTGCTTGGAGCTGAGACTCAGGGAAGACATAGAAATCAGCCCCCAGATGTAATCCGGAGATCCGGCCAAAGCCACCAAACCAACTGCCGCCCAGCCTATTCTGACTCATGGCAACCCTGTAAGAAAAAGAGAACTGCTCCGTAGAGTTTCTGAGGCTGTCAATCTTTACAGGAGTCGACTGCCTCATCTTTCTCCAGATAAGCAGCTGGTGGGGTCAAGCTGCTGACCTTACACTTAGAATTCAATGCTTAACCCATGGCACCACCCAGTCTCCTATACAAAGACCCAAAGTGGTGCTCATTTCCGCCTTTCTGATGGGCATGTGGACAGTTTAGCAAGCTAACAGGATTGTGTGCCTACAGGAAATATGCAAGGGAGAAGTCCCCGACTAGGAAATTGTAATGTCAACTACTCTTTGTATCTTTGTGAGGAAGAACATCAAATTTTAAATCATTTTAAAATTTAAGATCTGGATTAAAAATGACTAAAAATATCTAAATTCATGGGGATGCTAACACAGTTGGTTAAGTGTTCAATTTCAAAGCATGCTTTGAGAATGTTTGGGTTTCACATCTTTTCACCTCTTTCTTCATAATTGGTAGTTTAGAACAAGAGACAAGTGTAATATTGGCTTTTAACAGGTACACAAGTCAATGTCAGTGTGTCCACATATAAATATAAACTTTACAAATGAGTTTACTTTGGATCTGCATTCTTTTTTGGTCCCCTTCAATACGCTTTAAGCTCTTTGTTATTGGTAAGTGCTGTCAAGTCGGTTTTGACCAATAGTGACCCATATAGGATTTCAAGCTCACAGGTGGTGAGCTTGAACCACTGATCTTGCAGTTCAAGCCGACTTTGCAGTCTGGTGCAGTAACCCACAGTGCCATACCAGATAATACAAGTAATTAACATTAGCTAAGACAAGTAATTAATTTCTTCTTGTTGTTAAATGCTGCCAAGTCAGTTCAAACTCATAGCAAGCCAGCTGATGGGTTTGAACCTCCGACCTGGTATTTAGTACTCCAGTGCTTATCCTACAGTGCCACACCAGAGCTCCAATTAATTTCTAGGGGGAAAAATTACCCTAACCTTCTCAATTATCCACATTTTAAAAAGAACATTTATTCCCAGAGCGTTACTTGTCAATGAATGTATTTCAAAGCTGTCTCATTTTAGACTTAAAAGTGTTGCCATTTCTACACAGTATGGAGTGAAAAAATTGCCCTGGTGGCTCAATGGTTAAGCACTCTCAACTGCTAACTGAAAGGTCAGCAGTTTGAATCCAGCAGCCACTCTGCCAGAGAAAAGATTGGCAATCCGTTCCCATAAAAATGGCAGCCCAGGAAACCACACTGCGGCAGCTCTCCTCTCTCTTACAGGGTACATTCGATGACACAACAACATGAACCAAAAGTATGAAACCACAGGCTTTTACCTACAAGCTTTGGGGCAACAAACTCCCAGTTTTATAAGGATGCATTTATCGTCAGATTTATGGGTGTCAAAAAGACCACTGTGTGATTTTAAAATGATACTTGAAAATAATAAAAACAATTGCCTTTGATTTGTCCCATGCACGGCCACCCCACATGTCTCAGAGCAGAACTGTGCTCCAATGGGGTTTTCCCTGGCTGACTTTTGGAAGCAGACTCCCAGGTCTTTCTTCTAAAGTGCCTCACCTTATGTGTTTTGGTTAGCAGTAGACATGCTGGCTGTTTGCATCACCCAAACCCCAAATAACCTTCTGTCAAGTGAATTCCGACTCAGAGCCACCCTATAGGATGAAGTAGAACTGCTGCCTAGGGCAACCTTTATAGAAGTAGACTGCCACATCTTTCTCTCATGGAGCAACTGGTGAGTTTGAAATGCTGACCTTTTGGTTAACATCTGAGCACTTAACCACGATGCTACCAGCACTTCTTGCACTACTCAAACCAAAAAACCCAAACCCATTGCTACTGAAATCCAACTCATAGCAACTCTATATAGGGTTTCTGGGGCTGTTAATCTTAACAGAAGCATACAATCCCATATTGATCCCATGGAGCGGCTAGTGGGTTCAAACCACTGACATTTCAGTTAGTAGCCCAACGCCTAACCCACTGTGCCACCCAAGAACCCAACAAGAATATTCCTACTAAATCCAATGCTGTTGAAATGATTCTGACTCTAGTGTCCCTATAATACTGGGGTCTGGTAATGTCTGAATGGTCTAGATTTCGACTCCAGCACATGCCATGACGGTCGTGCCAAGAGGACCCACATGACTCACCCTCTCAGAAGTTTGAAGAGCATGCAGCCCAAGGAGAACCAATCGGCACTGCTGTCATAAGCCGTCCCCTTCTGCAGGACCTCAGGAGCCATGTACCCATGGGTGCCACTAGGGAGAAGAAAGGGGGCACGTGGTTATCAGACTACACCCAACGTAGAGCCACAGACTCCCAGAGTCAGTTACTATATGCTAACAAGGAGAGGGGGCAATGTTACTTACACACACACACAAACACACACACACCATTCACTGCCCAGCCAATGGTAACACCATCTTGTCTGCTTTCATGAGTAGAAGAATTAAGATAAAGGAGTTACCATACAAAATCAGTATGAAGCGTGGTGGCTTCAGAGGCTAGGAGGTGCCACATGAATCTCCTTAGACCTTTTCTGCTGGGGGACTAGAGGGCTTTTCCAGATGTGTGTGGTGGGTTGGAGGTGGCAGGAGAGGGTGACATCTCCTCCCTGTGTGTGCTCCTGCCTTCCTGGGCTGGGAACAGACAAGGAGCGCAAGCACACAAAAACTTGGATACGTGAAGAAGGAATCATGGGGCCAGAGGACTGAGGAACACTTGTGACAATGCTCAGTGAGCTGAGAAAATCACTAGGGAAGGTGGTCATTGGATGCAGCCGGTGCCCTGCTGGAAGCTCAGAAGACTCTCCAGCCCTTCCTGAAGAGGTGAGCAGGCACGGTTCCATCCTGAAGAGCGAGACGATGAAAGGACCTCTCCAGAGTGCAACCTCTCCATCCTTCACTTTCTCCATCAGTAAAACAGTTAACAGAATAACCATTTATAAAATCACCTATACCAAACTGAAAAACCAACCCTCGCGCTATGGTGTCCATTTTGATGCAGAGTAGCCCTACAGGACAGAGCAGAGTTTTCCCAGAGGGCTTCTAAGGCTGGGAAAACTCTTTATGGGAGCAGACAGCTTCATCTTTCTCCCAAGGAGCAGCTGGTGGATTCAAGGCACCAGCCTTGAGGTTATCAGTCCAATGCTACAGTGCCAGAAAAACGGAATGCCTTTATCACCAGCTCCTTTTTATTATTGTTATTAGGTTCCATCAAGTCGGTATTGACTCATAGTGACTCCATGAACAGCAGAATGAAACATTGCCCAGTCCTGTACCAACCTCTCAGTCAATCATTGCTACGTTTGAGCCGACTGCTGCTGCCACTGTGCCAATCCATGTCCCTGGAAGTCTTCCTCTTTGTATCTGACCCTGCACTTTACCAAACATGTTATCTTTCTCCAGGTACTGGCCCCTCCAGATAATATGTCCTAAGCATGAGAGATGAAGTCTGGTCATCCAGGTTTCTAAGGGGCATGATTCCAAGACAGATTGGTTTGTTCTTTTGGCAGTCTGTGGTACTTTTAAATATTCTCCTCGAACACTTTATCTCAAATTCATCAATTCTTCTACGGCCTTCCTTATTGACTGTCCAACTTTCACATGCACATGAGGTTATTTAAAATACCATGGCTTCAGTCAGGTATTTTAAATAACTTCATGTGCAAACTGACACCTTTGCTCGTCAACACTTTAAAGAGGTCTTGTGCATCAGATCTGCCCAATGCAATACTCTGTTTGATTTCTTGATTGCTGCTTCCGTGAGTGTTGATGGTTGATCTGAGCAAAATGAAGTATTTGACAACCTCAATCTTTTCTCCATTTATATCCATTTTGTTTATTGGACCAGTGGTGAGGATTTTTGCTTTCTTTACATTGAGATGCAACCCATACCAGAGGCTGTGGTTCTTGATCTACATCAGTAGGTATTTTAAGTCCTCTTTGCTTTCAGCAAGCAAGGTTGTATTGTCAGCATATCACAGGTTGTTAATGATTCTTCCTCTAATCCTGATGCCACTTTTTTTTTTTTTTTTTCATATAATCTAGCTTCTAGAATTATTTGCTCAGCAAACAAATTGAATAACTATGGTAAAAGAATACAACCCTGGAACATACCATTCCTAAATTTAAACCACTCAGTGTCCCCTTGTTCTGTTAGAACAATTTCCCTTTGGTCTATGTACAGATTCCTCACGAGCACAATTAAGTGTTCTGTAATACTCATTCTCCGCAATGTTGTCCATAGCTCATTATAATCCACACAATTGAAAGCCTTCACATAGTCAATAAAGTACAGGTAAACATCTTTGCAGTCATCTCTGCTTTTAGCCAAGATTCATCTAATATCAGCAATGATATCCGTCATTCCACGTCCTCTGCTGAATCCAGCTTGAACCTCTGAAAGTTCTCTGTCAGTCTCTGGTTGCAGCCCTTTTTAAGATACCTTTAGCAAAATTTCACTTGCAAGTGATATTAATGATATTGTCTGATGATTTCCCCATTCTGTTGTGTTTCTTTGGAATGGGCACAAATATGGATCACTTCCAGTCAGTTGACCAGGTAGCCGTATTCCAAATTTCTTGGCATAGATGAGTGAGTGCCTCCAGTGTGGCATCATTTTGTTGAAATATTTCAATTTGTATTCTATCAATTCCTGATGCCATGTTCTTTGTCAATGCCTTCAATATACCTTGGACTTCTCCTTTCAGTATCACTGGCTTTTAATTATATGCTACCTACTGAAATGGTTGAACATTGGCCATTTCTTTTTGGTACATTGACTGTGCATTCTTTATATCTTCTTTTGATGTTTTTTGAATCATTCAATATTTTCCCATGGAGTCCTTCAATATTGTGTGAGTCAAGGCTTGAATTTCTTTCTTT